ATAACAGTTCTTGTCCCAGGAAGGCCCTCAGGGCCAGATTTTGACCTGAGGCTTAGTTCACTACAAAAGAGTAAAATCATCCTGTCAGGAGTGACAGGATGATTCATACAGCCATAAGTCATAAGGGTTGATAAATGGTTTGACAGCTGTACAAATGAGAATATTGTATTGTTGCCCATCAAACATTTGAACCCAGTTTAACACTGAATGAGGTCCTGCTTTGGAAGAATGGAGCTCTTCCTCTAGAGCTCCACGAACCTAAAACGTCAGAGCTGAAGTGCAGTGATGCTGTTCCAGTGCTCCAACACTTCAAGTTCTCTTGGCTGTTTTATGCACATTTAACTGTAGAGCATTTTTGTGCAATGCAGAGGCACACATGGGATTTGTCTGTTTAAATAAAGGTTAATAAATAAACTTCTTACAGCTTCCTTCTAGTCTAGCTGTCTCAGATAAACTGTGTGTTTGCAACGTCAACAAATTCAGATTTGGGTCATTTTCTGCATTTATTAGAAAGCTGGCAAGTGGCAGGCGGAGCCTGCTGCTTGGAGAAGTCAGCTCTTTATCATCTCTTTATTTGCTGCCTCTTTTCTTGCCCTTTTTATTTCTTTTTTGTCTTTTTGTCAGCTATTAAGTAAGAAAAGACATGTTTTAAAGTGCTGTTCTTTTACTCAACATGAAGCTGTGTGTGGGGCTAACATAAGTGTACGTGTGTGTAAATGCAGAACGAGTTTCGTATCCCGGCCGATCAGGGCATCGCGGGCCACGTCGCCACCACTGGTCAGATTTTAAACATTAAGGACGCCTACTCCCATCCTCTCTTCTACCGCGGCGTGGACGACAGCACCGGCTTCAGGACCCGCAACATCCTCTGCTTCCCCATCAAAGACGAGAACAACGGTAACTAAAAACTGACTTGTAAAAAATAATAATTCATTCTGGTGTAGAAGCCAAGATAAACACTGAAAATGGTAAATGGCTTTGATGGACAGAAGCCCAGTTGTCTTAATCATGTCTGACTAATAAAATAATAAAAAGTAAATAAATAAAAATCTAACTAGCTTTGTTTAAATGTGTTCAAATTGTTTCATTTGTGCTAATTATTACTGGATGTGACAGAATTATTCTTTAAAGTATTTTAGCTCTAAATGCATGTGTACTTTGACAATGTTTAAATGGTAAATATTTATTTAAGTTTTACTCCCAAATTTCAGGATTGTTTTATTTTTAGTGCAAAAGTAGCAACACCCCCCCCCCCCTCCCCCCAACCCATTGGGAACAAATAAGGAACTACAATGGGTTTGAATTGATATTACACACCACATAAATATTGTATTTGATTTAAAGATGTTGACAAAATGTTTTCACCTTTGAAACTGTAAACTAAATGAAATTTGTAATTTTATTACCAAAACCACTGTTGACAAGTCTCAAATAATAAGTTAGGGGGGGAAATAAACATTTTTGTCCAAAAAGATGTTAAGAACTACTTTAACAAGAGAAATTGCATTTCCTTTGAAAATACAATGTGAATGCTTATTGCAGAAGAACTTGCTGAAAAACAGCTGAAATTAGCTAAATAAATGAAAAAATATGCTGAAACATAGTTGAAATGATTAAAGTTAGCAGAAGAAAGCTGAAAGAATGCATATTTGCTGGATTAGTGTTAAATAACCAGAAATTAGCTATAAAAAATAGGACATTAGCTAAAAAATATATATGAAATTAGCTAAAAATGTCTGAAAAGGTAGAAAGAAGCTTAAACTACCAGAAGAAAGTGGAAGGCGGTGAAATGAGCTAAAAAAAAGTGGAATTAGCTGAAAAAAATTAAATTTAAACCAAAAACAGCTAAATAGTAGCAGAAAATGCTGAACCTAGCAGAAAAAAAAAACTGAAAGGAGCATAACAAGCTGAAATTAGCAAAAATAAGTTAATTAAGTTGAAAGTAGCAGAAATTATCACAAAAAACATGAATTTATCTGAAAACAGCTGAAATTAGCTTAGAATGCTAAAAAGGCGGCTGAAAAGACAGAACAAGCTTGAATTAGCAGAAGAAAGCAGAACAGGTTTGTTGAAAGAAGCAGAAATGAGCACTAAAACGTGGAAATGATCTAAAAAAGCTGAAAGAAGCTTCAATTACCAGAAGTGGAGAAAGCACATCTTTGCTGAATTAAGCTGAAAAAAAAAGTTGGAATGAGTGCAAAATATGTGGAATTGGCTGGTAAAAGTTAAAACGAGCATAAAAACAGATAAATAGTAGCTGAAATAGGAAAAAACTCTGAAACGCATTAATAAGCTGAAAGGAACATAACAAGCTGAAATTAACAGAAAGAAGTTAAAAGAAGCACAAAAATGTTGTAGTTAGCAGAAAGAATCTGAAAGGAGCACAAAACAGCTGAAAAAACAGCTGAAATTAGCTGGAAAAATGTTTAAATTTGCACAAAGAAGCTGAAAGAAGCTGAAGCAGAACAAAATGTGAAAGGAGCAGTAAAAGGTTGGAAACAGATCTGAAGATTTGAAGGATGTCAAATGAGCTCAATTCATTTTTTATGAGGAAAAAAACAGCAGAAAAGGCTAAATATTTCAAAAAGCTAAAGTTGCACCAATACCAAAAGTAATAGCAGGATTGTCCTGAAAGAGCTGAATGTTTTGATTTATGCTTTATTGAAAAAGTTTGAAAACTGCAAGACAAAAATCACGCCAAATAATGTACGGAAATAAAAAAGGATCATAATAGAGTTAATGTTTCATAAACATTCACACAGTAATTGTTTAGATGCATTTTATTTCAGCTATTTGGGAAAACGTTCAGCACCTCGCAGTATAAAAACACAAACTTTCAACTAAAGGATGTTCTGCATTTTTCTCTAACTTTACTTTAAAGTAAATTTACCACAGTATATGTAATTATTAATGTTTCAGTGTTTTAGATTACTTTAACTTTACAGTTAAAATAGAAATATCGCATTAGTTTTAATAGCATCATGAGTTATCTACAGAACAGAGAAAATCCTGTTTCCCTCTCTTAGTTTCAGAAAGTGAAGCTACACTTTGAGCCAAGTGCTCTCCCAGAATAGCACCGACAGCATCCCATCCTTGAGTGTGGTGAGGGGCTTGAAGCACTTTGGACCATCCTCACTCACATATTTCAGAAATCTCTGCTTGTTTTTAAGGTGCAGCCTGAGCTGTTGACACTCAGGGTTGTTTGTCTCCACAAAGATAACTGCAGCTCAGATGAGCAGTTTCCATGCAGGACTTTTTTATGTAATTAGCAGTTAACAAACTTGTTCGACTTACAGTTTTGATGTCTATCCTCAAACTGTATCTTCTAATTTTCCTTTATCATCGTCTCTCTGCCTCCATCTTTCTCACGAAAACTTTTCCTGATTTGTCCCAATCAACATCATGCCCTCGAACGCCTCGTCTTTGTGTTATTTTCATCTTTTCTCTCTGTCCTCCTCCTCTTCCAATCCCTCTCCTTTAGAGGTGATTGGTGTAGCCGAGTTGGTGAATAAAATGAACGGGCCCTGGTTCAACCGCTTCGATGAGGATCTGGCCACAGCTTTCTCCATCTACTGTGGCATCAGCATCGCCCACGTAGGTCACGCCTCCCACTCTCCGTAACCTTTAATATTTTTTAAATCCTCCTCTTGTCCACTCCTCAGCGATGATTAATGTTCTTCCTGTTGATAAAGGCAAAGATAAGCCAAGTATCAGTGCAACGTAAATAAATTCTAATCTGATTAAAAGGCAATAAACTCAGCAGGTTAAATATCCTCCAAATGAGCCCCTCCTCTGTAAATCCTCCATGGGTCCAACTTTACAGATAAATAAAACGAACTGCGTAGGAAACAAGTGTTAGTCGTTAGGGGTCGCTCACGCCGTGTGACAGAGCTGCTGCTAATGTAGTCAGAAAGATCGAGCTGGCAAAATGAGATCTGTTCAGTGGGAGCAAAATGCTCAGAGTGGAGCAAGGCCTCATGGGAAATTTAAAGAGATTCAGTCTAATGGAAGTGACGGGCTTGTGCGGTGTCGTTTGAAAAGCATTATATGACAGCTGCAAAGCCATTAACACACATGCAGCTGAGGAGTCGTGTGAGGCTCTCAGAGATGATCGCGGTGATGATGATGATTTTACCTCTAATGATGATCAAAAAGAGAGGGAGAGAGAGAGGACTGGGTCGTGTTGCTTCGTCGTTCAGCAAAAACGTTTATTTTTAATAGTGGTTTTCTCGTGTTTACAAAACCAATACGAAGGTTCATTTTCTTCTCTTCGTTTCAAAACAGGTATTTCAAAATGATACTCTTAATGGGAAACTGGGTTATGAAGGAAAGACGCGAGAAGAAAGAGTGGTCTGGAGTAAGAGGAGAGGAACAGAGTGAAGAAAGAAGTGACGCAAAAAAGTAGAAAACAGGGAAAGAAGAGAGAATTATAGAAAGGAATGAATTAGGAAGAGAGAGACGAGCAAAATCAGAAAGGAAGAATAAAGAAGGAGAAAAGAAAATGAGTGCAGGAAGAAACAAAGAAGGCAAGAGAAGGGAAAAGAAGAAAGAGGGACCAAAGGAAATGAAGCAAAAAATAGAATGGAAGACAAAGAAATGAAGTAAAGGAAATGATAAAAGGAAGAAAGAAAGTGAAGAAAAATGTAGAAAAGAAGGAAGAAAGGAACGAAGTGACAGAATCAAAGATGAACCAGGAAATGAAGGAAGTGAAGAAAAGACAATAGGACGGAGGTAAAAAAAAAAAAAAGACAGGAGGAATGGAAGGAATAAAATAAGAGACGTACAAAAGAAAGGAAGAAACAAAAACTAAAAGAAAAAGAAATAAGCTAGGAAGGAAAGGATGAGCGGAGAAAGTGAAAAAGCAGAAGAAACAAATGAAAAGAACTGATGCAAAAGAAATAAGACAAATGAGAGGAGAGGAGGAAGAAAAGGAACAGGAAACAGGAAGACCAAAAGATAAGTAAGAAAGGACTGAGGATAAACGGAATAGAATAATGAAGGGAGAGCAGGAGGAGTGAGAGAACAGCTGTGAAATATTGTCTCGTGCCTTCACCGTTCATCTTCATGATAATCAGCTCTTGTAGGGTCTGACCTCCTGCAGGTGTTTAATAAAGTGTCCAGAAACTATAAAGATATGTGATTGGAAAAATAATTCCTCCAACAGGGCTCATCAATCTTTTAAACATTGCCGTGTATATTATGCATGTGTGGTACTGCAGTATGCAGTCTGGACTGTATACTGCAGCTTTATTGTGTACTGAAATGTGTACTGAGGTCAGCTGAACTTTACTGTCATACATAAGTAAATACATTAGACTGATGATTTTATTTATAAATATCAGTAAAACACGAGCCACAACAACTAATCCAACAAAGTTCAGTCAGGTCCTCTGGATGCTTTTGAGACTTGTCGTCCTTCATCCAAGAGACTTCATCAGTCCGAGGAGCCACAATAAACTCAGTCCCATAAGTGACTTATTGACATAGTGGGCCAACCAGTTTGCTGGTGATAAGATCGTATCACCAGCAAACTGGTTGGTTCACTATGGGAGTGTGTTGCGTGTGGGACACAGTTTGTTTGTGGCTCATCAGACTGATGAAGTCCCTTGGATGAAGGATGAAAAGTCTCAAAAGCATCCAGAGGACCTGACTGAACGTTGCTGGACTTCTTACCTGGATTATTGAGCATGAACTTTGATGTTTCACAACAACTGTTTCTATTCTAACAAGAAGTATTTGGTCAAAACAAAAATGAAAAAGTGGTTCCACAACAATAAGTGTTGGATGTTTAGTTTGTTAGATTCTTGTGTAATTTCTTTCCCCCTCTTCTAGTCTCTGCTTTACAAGAAAGTTCATGAGGCTCAGTTCAGGTCTCACCTGGCCAATGAAATGATGAAGTACCACATGAAGGTGAACCCACGTCTATTCAAGTTACAGAGTACTTACTGCTGCTGTGTGTATTTGTACTGTTTAATTGTGCACACATCTGCTGCAGGTTTCAGAGGAAGAGGTGTCCAAGCTGCTGGTGACCGGCATTGAACCGGTGAAGGAGATTCACTCATGCTACGCTGAGTTCACGTACACGCCCCGCTCCCTTCCTGATGACACGACACCCCTGGTGAGGAAGAGAGAAGTGTGGGCTGAAACTCAAAATGCAAAGTCTTACAGAAAGTGTGATGAAGTCCCGCCTGATGTGTGTGTCTGCAGTGTGTCCTCAGCATGTTTGAAGACATGGGCTTCATCAACACATACAAGATTGACCTGCATACTCTCGCCAGGTTAGACGCTTACCGTACATCAAACTATGTTGCACGTGAGTGGGTCTGCTGGTCAGTTACACCAGTGGATCCTAACTCTGATCCTTGAGGAACACCATCATGCATGTTTTAGTTGTTTCCCTGCTCCAACGCACCAGATTCTGTAAATTAATTATTTCATCAAGTTCTGCAGAAGCCTGTTAAAGTCAGGTGTGTCCAAACCCGCGAAACAAACAAAACAAGCAGGGTGACGAGTACTTTTGAAATGTCAGCATCAAAGTGCATTTATTAAGAGAAAGTTAGACTGAGACACACCTTTACTATAATTTCGCGCAAACAAATAATTGTTTTTAAGCGTTAATCTTGTTAAATTCTTATTAAAGTCCTCTCGTGCATGCTCCCGCTGCCGCCATTTGACATTCAATCAATTTTTGGCACAACACCGGCCCACATTTCTGGGTTGTCAGCGGTGATGCGTAATAGATGCAACGTATACGGCAAAGTGGCATATTTATGGATTTTTCCACTTTATTAGACACATTTGGACTGATGTGACTTATACGACGGTGTGACGGGTACGGTGGAAAATACGGTTCGCAGATTGCCCTATCACTCCTCACAGTAGAGGTTCGTTAGGGTCTTTGTTTGACTGACTCACAGAGGAGCCACTCTGATCACATGGATGAAATTCCTGATAGGTGTGAAAAGAACTGTGTATCAGGCCTAAAGCTGCATTATACGTTTTAGATAAGTTGAAATCTGAGACCTCCTCCTCTGTTTAAAGAGGGTTTCTCTCGTTTTACGTGAATAGCTTCCTTCAGACCCCCTCGCACAAGACCTCAGACCAACACGGTCTCCACGGTAAATGATCATTTAGGCTTCTTTATGTAAACTAGATTTTTTTTTAAGAACGAGTTGTCCAAGTTGGACATCATCAGCACGCAGTAATAATTTATTCATTAATTAACTGTCTGCATCCCCCCCACAACAAACCATGTATTCACCTTCTTTTTACAAATACGTCTGTCATGGGACAGTTGTACAAGAGCTGGAAAACAAAGCAGGAAGAAGGTGGATTTTTGGAGGGATGGGTACTCAAAAATAGCGCTGTGTTAAGAGCTGGGCGACGCGTCATAAATCATTGTGTGCGGTATGATAATAATAATAATAGGGGATGCTATTTTGACGCTTGTCCTTCAGCACTGATGTGTTCTGGCCTTTGCAGCGTGTTGTAAATGGGCTTTAAGTGCTTCTGGGACTGCATTATGCTAATTTCCGTCCTCCAATAGACCCCGTCAGTCAGACATGGGCCTGGAAACCAAAAGACTGCAGGAGCTGAGATGCAAACTGATGACTATAAACAAAACTGACGAGGTTTAGATCAGCGAAGAGTAAAGTTGTTGAACCGTGCTGTACATTTCAATTCTGTTTTTAACGTTAGCAGGTGCGTGATGACGAATCGCCGAGTTGACGTCATTAGCGTTGCAGCTTTTACACTAATGTTCTTTCTGAACGACCGGGTCATTGTGTTCAAAATAAGATTACATGCTTGGGTTAAAAAACTGTGGGGGGATGACGTGGCACTTTCATAGTGCATGTGCATGAGTCACAGGCACCGCGATGAGACTGTAATTAAACTGCTGCTGTGGCGACAGGTTCTGCCTGATGGTGAAGAAAGGCTACAGAGACCCCCCCTACCACAACTGGATGCATGCCTTCTCCGTCTCACACTTCTGCTACCTGCTCTACAAAAACCTAAGGCTCTCCAACTACCTCGAGTAAGTTTTCAACATCGAGGGGCCTTGGGAATCAGTTTTTGTTTTGCTGGTGTCAAAATGTATTCAGTGTCTCCTGCTTTCCTGTAGGGACATAGAGATTTTAGCTCTGTTTGTTTCCTGTATGTGCCATGACCTGGACCACCGTGGCACCAACAATTCTTTCCAAGTGGCCTCGGTGAGAGCATGGACTGTCTTTGTGCTTTTGAAAGATTTTTATTGAACGTCAGAACTGACAAGAAGATCAAGGCGGTAAAACGCCCAGAGTGTTAGAGCTCTGAATGTTTATTAGTAATGTTTGCGTTTGTTTTAATCCCATAATCTGTGGAATTCCATCTGCTGTGAAACAAAAGATGTCGCTGCAGTAAGCTGCCCTCTAAGTTGTGCACAACCCTCCTGCAACATTTTGCATTTCGTAATATCAGCGTTTTATCGTTGTCTTTGTTCCTCCTGCTGGTGTCAAGTTGTATTGTTGTTGATGTTCAACATAAAACCTGAAAGATGTGATTTAACTGTGTTTGTTTTTGAAGCAATCCGTCCTGGCTGCTCTCTACAGCTCAGAGGGATCTGTGATGGAGGTAATGACAAACCTGTAACTCTACCTGTACAGTAGTCCCTCGTTTATCCAGGGAGATCCGTACGATGAGTGAAAAACAGCTAAGTAGAAATAGTAGTACATGTAGTACGTAGTAGTTTATCTTAATACATATATAGTATTATATATATAATACTGTATGAAAAGGTGTTTTAAACTCTTCCCACACTCTTACAATATTCTAAACGATGTTTCTAAACTCTAAACGCTCTAAAAGATCACAGAATGTCATGATTTCAGCTCCCTGCCTCGTCTGCTTTTAGTCACCAGCAAGCATTCTTGGCCACGCCCACTTCTCCACTCTGCACGGTGAACAGCTGATCAGCTGCAGCAGGAAGTTTATCCTGCAGTGTGGGCTGCACAAATGTGCGGCAGGTGCTAAATAATGTAAAATAATTTATTTAAAAGAAAAATTCCATGCCGATGGTGCGTCTCGTCCATCAATCAGCCAGTTGTGTGTCATGTCCAGTCTTATTGTGAACAACCGCGGTAGAGCGAGTCCGCGATAAGCGAGGGACTACTGTGCACTTCCTTTGTCAGTAATCTACAACAGTGGTTCTCAAACCGGGTCTGGGGGTCCGGGAGCCAGTGCCTGGGGTCGTAAAAAAAAAAATAATTATATTAAAAATTATATATATATAATTTTATTATTTTTATTTTTACAAGCATGTAGATGTTTAATAACCCATTAAAAACACCAAAATGCAAGAAATCGCATCTACTTTATTAAAAATCTTCTGGGGGAGGACCCCCCACTTCCAGCATGGATCAGTTTACAAATGAAGTCCTGTTACTTGGTCTGACTGCTGTTATGATTCTGTTCAGTTTCATGGAAAGAGTTTTCTCTAATAATTTGAAGAATTGTCAAAACATTTATGTTTATTAATTGCATAGGTAAAGTTGTAAAGTGGTTTTTGATTCTGTTGTTTTTATCTAAACTGTAACTTTTGGAAGTTGAAATTAAAAATTTTGTTAATTGTGTCTTGAATGAAAAATACCCCATGTTTAAAGGTATAAAAATTGTATTAACACTATTAAAGAACAGGTCTTTAGGTATTTATGTTACACAAATATTTCCATTTCATTAAAGAGACAAATTGAAGAACATTATTTAATAAACATGAGGGTTATGAGGGGGTCCCTGAAACTTGTTCTCCCCTGTAAGGAGTCCCTGAATCCAAAAAGTTTGAGAACCCCTGCTCTACAAGAATGTGTTTGTGTCATGTGTTATATTTGTTTACTTGTTTACATTCAGTGAACTGTAGTTTGTGAGCAGCTGATGTTTTGTCCTGCTCTGCCACCTAGTGGTCACAAACCTGGTTCTCCATGCAGCTTTTCCTGGAGAAAGGAGATTTAAATCTAGTTTTACATTTAAATGTAGCCATGTAACAGATGAGTGTTACTTTAAAGTTACCCGACTGACATTTTTACACATTTTTATTTTTTATTTCCTACTACAGAGACATCACTTTGCCCAGGCTATTGCTATTCTAAACACTCAAGGCTGCAACATCTTTGAGAAATTCTCCAGGAAGGTATTTATTTATTTTGATTCTAATGTCTTCTAAACCTGTTCGTACAACTCTAAAATGTGCTCTGCGTGTTTTCAGGACTACCAGCGCATGTTGGATTTAATAAGAGACATCATTCTGGCTACAGATCTGGCACACCACCTTCGAATTTTCAAAGATTTGCAGAAGATGGCTGATGGTATGTCTGTTTTCTTCTTTAACAATGTTGTTCAACAGAACTTTGTTTATTCCTTCAAATAAAAAGGACACATGCTTTTCATGACTTGTCATGAATAATATTTCTAAAACTAGAGTTTGTCATCATAAGCATGGCCTATTTTGATGAAAAAAATGTGTTAAATGACTAACAAATGTGCAATAATTATCATCCGTTAGCTAGATAATCACTGACAGATAAACAGACCCATTTGCTGTACATGAAGAAAAGTTTCTCACTCCACATTTTCATTAATTGTCCAAGTTTCTGCGGTCTCTCTCAGTTGGATATTATAATTGGGTGTAACCTCTTGGTTGGAGGTTTGTTACGCCTGAATGCAACTAATTATAAGTTATCCTGAGTGGATGCCTCTGCAGTGAATGTGGTCTTAAGCTGCTAAAGCAATTCGAGGATATTTAAAGGTCAAAATGAGTTGGCAACTTTTTTACCAAACACTCACTGTTAGACGTTATAGACTAAAATAGCTGAACCAAATGGAGAATATTCTCTGAACGGTGGTCAGGAGAGTCATTTTCCGCTGTTCCTCGTTAAAAAAAAAAAAAAATATATAT